AATTCAGTTCATTATATGGCTCTGTGGAAGACCATCATCTCTTTCCACCTACTTCTTGCCCTGTGTTCTTAACAATGGTTAACTTCAAACCAAACAAACTGTAACCTTTTTGGTCATTGTTTCAGATACTCTTCAATGCCTTCAGCAATGGTAGAACTTAAGTGTTTAAAAATTCAGGGAGGTATTCAGATATGTATATGTCTTCAGAGTAGTCTGTGTTGAACTGTGTAGTGCAGTCAAATATTAGGAGATGACTGTAGGAAATGTTTTATGACATTTTGTATGATGTAGCATGTTTGATTATCATTTTTATGTAAGAAAATATTTTATAAAATTTGTCAAATTTCAATTCCATAAGATTCATGGATCCTGGATTTTGGACACATTCTGTAAGTTAGCCCAATTGAACTCCCTTGGCAGAAAAAGTTTTGCTTTATAGTGCACTGTTTCACTTGGTTAAAGCACAAACACAAGAGCCTTAGTTTATAGTTGTCATGAATGTCTGCTAGCATTCATTGATAGCTCCCCAATTCCATGATCTGCCCCCAAGGCAAGTATGTTTGATTTTTTAATTCTTTTTCATGGGATTTTACTTATATTATTCAGTATTTTCAGTATGTAAAGGAGCGCATCTTCAAACAAGGCTTCCTGTTGAATTCAAATCTGGTTCTTAAATAGTTATGTATTTTAAAGATGTGCTGATGGTCCCTTGTTATGGAATTGAAGGTTCAAGGTATATCTTGCCAATCACCTTTCTCTAAACTCTTCTGTGAGCTCTGACTAAGCTATCTCTACTAAATAGCTGGAAATGTTTCCACACTATTAGAAACGCTGACATCCCAAGATATATGCGATCAAATTCACATGGTGTTCCAAGGTACTCTGGACTGGGAAACTAACTATAATATGAGGAAGAGGTCTAGCATGTCCTCTTTAAAGCAGTTTGCACCAGTTGCAAACTTTGCTGAAAATAAAATAATTACTGCTAAGATTACAGGATATCACATACTCAAAGATATCACTTTGTCTTTGGCTTACAGTGTTGACTGAAAAGTGTAGGAATGATAAAACAATCATGTGCAGAGTTTTGAGATACCATCTGTTAGTTCCCTATTGTGATCTCATTCTCAACAATCTTTACCTAACTCCTGCATTATGATGTAACCAGTAGAATTTCTTATCAAGACATCCAAGAAGAGTTTTAGGCATTTGAAGGATATGCTATCTCTTCAGTGCCTGGAATAACTGATTTTCTTTGTACAACTTTTTAAAAATAAGCTACCGTATATAGTGATTGTTGATCTTTCTGCTTATTCTACATCAAGCATCCCATGTCCCTGCAGTTGAGTTATTGATCATAAACTCAGATTAAAACAAAAGTCTTCTTCCAATTTCCCATCATTACCAATGCATCATAAATTCTTCATCAAGTTAGAAAAGTTAGTCCATTGGCATCAATCCAAGATAAGTTCACTTAGCAAAATAGTCTAGATAATATGTCTTAGATTAACTTTACAGACACTTTTTCTGTCCTATAATGTTAATGTTGAGTGTTGTGAAATTTATTGGGACTTCAGACATTCAGTCAAGATGGATAAATTCTAATAACAGTTTACATTGGTGAAATAAGCAATTTCACCAATAAGTATTGGTATCAGATTTCCCCTGAAAAACCAAGCATCATTGCTTCCATTGAGATGATACCCATGTTATGACCACAAAACAAAGTTGAGAAGAGGTCAAAAAGTTCTGGAAAGAGTTGCAGGAAAGGATATGTTGCTCCTAACTACATGAGGGTATGTGTGGTCATGACCCTGACTCCAGGAGAGCAACAATCCCTGAAGTCTGCCCCAGCTATCAAATAACTTTATGATGCAATAACTATGGCAGGCTGCCATTGGTTATAAACTTCATTTGCCATGATTTCATAGGATATGTTAACAGTATTTGACTTTGGTTATATAACAGTAATTCACTGCTAAAACAAAGGCAATTAAGTTATCATTGAGAACACATCATGCTCTGTTGTCTGGAATAAGGTATCAGGATCAGGAGAGATTTCTGTCCTTGTTGAAATTAGCTGAAACAAAAAATCAATGTATTTGTATCCGAGGTTGCATAATATTGAGAGTGCCTGCATTGTGTAAGAAGAAAAGATGGTCTATACCAAAAGATTCTTACAGTATAGGAATCTTGAAACATGCCCATCTACAACCTTTCTGACAGCACTGAGGTCATGTCTTTATCACTCATTGGCTTTTCACACCTGAACTATCAATTTCCAAAAACAGTTTACAAGCAGAGGATTAGACTTCTCCACCATCTGCCTAAACTTCAGCAAGATTGGCACACAGCATAGCACATTCAGTCCTCATCAACATAATTGTTATCACTTGATTTCAAAACTTGTTCAACCTTTTACTTAGTTGTAAGACATGGAGCCATACTTCTCACTTTCTTTTCCTGGCTGCCCTAACCAACTTTAAGTTTACCGCCACCCCTTTAATACCAACAATGGGCAGATTCTTTTCTGCCCTAGACAATCTGATTATGTTAAATCCAAAATTACCTAGTGATATTAATCTCTGTGTAAAAGCCAAAAGGGAAAACTACCACTCTTGGCAACAATTACAGAAACAGCAACAACAAAACCCCCTAACCTAACCCCCTAATAAATGTATTAATAGTAGATTTTTAGTGCTTTATTTTGTTTTGAGCATAATTCTCCAAGCTTTGCTGCCACTAATAATTATGGGGCTTCCTTAGGAGCCAGCCAGCCAGTATTAGCTAAGAATATATTTTAGACTTCTGAGAGGCATTGGCATATGAAATATATGGATACTGTAGAAAAAGAAGACAGCAAAAAAGCTTTAGTTTTGCCACCTCGAGATGTATCAGCCATAAGAAAAATGCCTGCAAAGTAGTCAGAGTTTATATTTGCACATCTTGATTAATAAACAGGTTTTTGCCTTTAAAGATACTCAGGGCTAATTCCTGTTTGTCCTTCATCTACTTCAGCCTTTATTTTGAAGTGAGCATGCTTCTCAATATGTGTATACAGTGAGGTTTTTCAGTTGTTCGGTCACCATTGACTTTTGATACAAGGCCAGGGCTTGCCTGGCAGTAACTGCTTTTCCAAGTTCTTGAAACTCATATTTGCATTATCAATGATTATACTTAGCCTCCTTCTCGTGATGTCTTTTTTGATTGCCTGATTTTTCCAAGCATCAGGATCTTTTCAGATGCTCTTACCCTTCCATTAAATGCCCCAATTATCAGCTTAACTTTGCCTAATATTGAATGCATATTCCTTCCCCTTTTGCTCTTTATTTCTCCAGCAATAAAGTTCAAAAAAGCGAGCAAGATCAAATTAAAGAAGCAAGATTGATACAGATTTCCATAAGATATCCATAATGAAGCTCTGGAGTAAATATTGAATCATGAAAAATACATGAATTAAGATAGAATTTCTTTGAAATGCTGTTTTTGCAGATATCTCCCACCTGGGCTGAATTGCCATTCAGAAAGCAATCTATCAACTGATTCCCTTATTCTTTCCCACCCTCTGCACAATCTCTCATACCACAGCTTTCATTAAAAGCAACCAGGTATATGTTTTCACAAAAGACTGCAAGGATTTTGGAGATATTGCATTTTGTATTTACAGGGGTGAGTTAAAAGACTTGGTTGGAAAAGGTCAAAGTTGCTTCATAGAGTTGACTGGCAGAATGAATTAAGGCTGTGACACATTGTTTTTATGTACGAGAAAATGCCTCTTCCACATGTGAGTTCGGGATGTGCCACAATGAGGGGCTTTGACAGGCTATCCCTAACCCAAGGCACCCTGTACTCCATTTAACAACCCATGTGGTAGCTTAACGATCACAATAGTGAGAGTCGGGATTGTGGTCATTAAGGGAGGTGATCATATGGGTGCTTCACTTAACAACTGCAACAACGTAGGACCATAATTCCAGGTGCAATTGTGGTTATAACTGGTAATAGTAGTCCTTTGATTCTGATTTTAGGAAACCAAATATTTGTGAAGCTATATAAAAGAGAGCCCAGAAGAAGATGGAAATGCCTGAGTGTATTTCCCCCAGTTTTGTTATCTGCAAAGTGTAATGTGGTGGAATATTCAGAGGATAAAATGAGTATTTTATTTCACCTTATTGACAAGGAGTATATCATACATCTGGATGTTAATATAAGAAAAAAATAAAAAGAGGACTATGATTGATTACTGATTGGATGTTAATAAGGAATTGGGAATGAAGGAAAACATTTAAGAAATGTGATTTGCAGTCTGAAATGATAGAGTCTATTCTATTATAATATTCTACAATAGTCCTCGACTTAACACTACAATAGGGACCGAAAAATTCATCCTTAAGTGATGTGGTTATTATGACTGTGGCTTGTAACCTTCCAATTAACTCTCTTATCAGAAGATTGCAAATGGCAGACATGTCACCGCAGAATACTGCAACCATAGTAAATCTGTGATGGCTGCCAATTGCCCAAATTGTGATTATGTGGCTGTGGGGATGCTGTGATGGTGATAAGTGGGAGAACGAGTTGTAAGTTACTTTTATCAACTGTAGTCTTGGATAGTTGCTAAACAAATGCTTGTTAAATGAAGACTGCTTATATTACTGCTTTCTGGTAACTGTGTGGTTAAAAAGCTAAGAAAAGCAGGGATTTTAAAAAAATGGTAAACTATAAAAAGAGTTTGGGAAAATATTCCAAGTCTCATTCCAGAAAGGAAGGACTATGATAATTAGCGACAAGGCCAAACAAGGGATAGCTAAAAGAAAAGTGTGAGAGGAGGGGAATGAAAGCATTTTGTAGCTTGGAAGTCAGAGGGAAAGAGCTGAGCTTTATATTTGACTCCTATTTACTTTAATATTGGCTCTCATCTTCAAACTGAGATGATATTTCTCTAAAATAATGTCAGGCAATAAAACCTGAAAAGAATATAAGCACCAATATATTGCTTACAATATAAATCTATACACTTTATTTACAACTGTACACTTGAGTGAATATAGCATTCATTGAATCAGCCATATACATACAGTGCTAGAATCCCAATAGCATCAATTTCAGATCCCTAAACATTTTTATGCTCTCAGAAACTCTGGACAATTTTGTCACATAAAAATCACAGGGCTTCTTGCAATGAAACTCATTTTCCCATCCTTTAGTTAGATATGTCTCAGCAGATACTATAAGATGGCTTTTGACAAAGAATGATATAATTTTTCATTGATCATCTTTGTTTATACCCAAGTTTCCTGGGCTGATTTCAAAAAACAGGACTCCATGCTTCATAACAATACCAAATATGTTTCTTGCATTTGACTAGAAAACAGGATCACTAATTTTTACCCCATTCATTCATAGGAAATTTTAAGCTGACTCCATTTTATCTGATCCATAATGAATGAATGAAGCTATGAGTATTTGGGGCTTTTTCACTTGGTTCCTTTTAAGAAACTTTAACTTAAGAATTTTAGGGATAATTCTTGATCAAGGAAAGACTGAAATCAAATCTTTTGAAACTGTGATCCAAAGCAGAGACAGGAGATCAGATAGAAATACTTCCAAGACTGACATAGGTTTTCCCTGAGTCGGCTTCTCCTTCTTTGCTTGGTAAGCAGTTTGTTTTGTTTTCCAGTCATCTTTTCTCTGTTTCTCTGGCTCGACTGATTTTTACCAAACAAAGTGTCTTTATTAATTGATGGACATCGTTGGTCCTTTAAGGGCTAAGGTGAGGTTTCAGAGCCTCTTGTTTCTCCTTACAACACCTGATCTTTAGCATCGCCGGGTAGTGCCAAGAAGTTCCCTGCTGGGTCGGACTCGACTCTTTACTTCCAATAACAACCAAGGTGTTTTGATGTAATTCATAATCACCTTGGCAGGGCTACGGAGTGCTGGATTGGGTGTCAGGAGCCCTTGCAACATTTCTAATGCTTGGGGAGTGAAACGTTCCCAATGGGCTGGGAGTGAAACAAAACGGGGGCTGCGATGCCAGGAGACAAAGCTGCGATAATGCTGATCAGAGAGCACAGCTGTAAGCCAGGGGAAGTAGCCAGTTAGCACACAGAACAGCAGCACTCCGAGAGCCCAGGTGTCAAGGCTCGGTTGGACTTCCAGATGAGCTTTGGGGCCCAAGATACACATTTCAGGTGCGGTATAAGGCAGACTTTCAGGCAAGGCCTTAATGGCATGGCCCCTTGGGCAGCTCAGTCCAAAGTCAGTCAGCTTAATGCGCCGGCATTCAGGGTCACAGAGCAGCACGTTTTCTGGCTTGACATCTCGATGGATTAGCCCTTTGGATTCCATGTACTCCAGGGCACTTGCAAGCTGGAGGGCACAGCGCTTTACCCGTTGCTCAGGTATGCCAACCTGGAAATAAAAGGTCACATTTGCAAACCATGCATCACAACTGTTCTAAAAATGAGTAGAAATATCTGGATCTGCTGCCTGGTCCTTTTGGACTCTTAAGAAGAATTAAAACAGGATTCTGCATGATCTTAGGGTACTTTTAAATATATGGTGGTTCTTTTTAACACCTCACAGTTGATTTACTATTTGATCTGTAAGGCCAGCAAAGGGACACAAAGTCTTTTAAAGCACTCACATTTCAGGCAGCTTTCCAAGAAGTAACTTGAAACATAACCAAGAAGAGGAAAACGGCATAAGCTTGGGATGTGTTTAGTGTCTATCACTTAATGCAAACACAGTGTCTTGCATCCAAAAACTAGCACAGCAGACAGTTTCTGTCTCTTTCTAGTTATATATTTTCAAAATAATCTAGAATTTTTTTATAAACAGTTCATACCATCTTCAAAGAAGTATTTACCCTTCTCTCATAGTAGAAAGAACCACCTTTTTCTGAGCAACAGACACGTGTGCAACAGTTAAAGACATGCTTTTTGCTTCAAAATATTTCTTCTACCCATGAGTGCAATATAAGAAATGAATCAACCAGCTGGAATTGTGCAGTCCAAAAAAACAAATTTGAATTCAATCTCATCACCAAAAGCATGGTTTATATAGGCTGAAAGTTCATGATATAGATTAGATAGTCTTGGATAATAGGGAGATGATATATATAAAATATCTAAATTTAACAGGAATAATTCCAGTGTTAAGGAGAGCAATGAAAATATTATCCATATCCTTAGGAGGGAATCTCTCTCTCCCTCCTTCCTTCTCCCTCTCTCCCTCTTCCCCTCTCCCTCTCTCTTCTTCCTCTCTCCCCCTCTCCTCTCTTCATCTCCCTCCCTCCCTCCCTCCCTCCCTCCCTCTCTCTCTCTAGTTCAAGAATGCTGTCCTAGAAGAGCTCAGGATGCCATGCCTAGTACTACTATAATTCATCCCCACAGTGACCCTCAACTGAGAAAATTGGGATGAGAGACACCAACTGGAGTTCCCATGGCTGAGCGTGGGCTTGAATCTTCCTAAGTCTAGTCCAATATCACCACTGGCATCACAAAGCAACTTTGGTAACAGCCTTTTTCCTTTCTGAAATATCTTGGTAATGAATTAGGGGTGTTGAAGAATAATTTCTGCATCAGTTTTACTATTTATCACCTCGCCTATTTAGGTACTGCTGTAAATCATTTGTTGTAAGTACTTACCTTTGGCACCATGAGAGAGAAGAGGTCATGAGCCAATGCCAATTCTTGTGCAAAGACATAGTGTTGGGGGGTTTGGAAGGCAATCCCAAGGGCAGTGGCAATGCAAGGGTGCGCCCCCAAAGTCAGTGCAATGCAATATTCACTAAGGAAATCCTGTAGCTCTGTATCTTTTTTATGTACAAATTTCAGTGCCATGGGAGTTCCTGAAAGAAGAGGGTTTGGTTTATGAAAGAAGAAGAAATCCAGTGTTCTAACTTCTCCTCATTCTAGATTAAACTAGTTTGATATGCAAGTAGTATGCATTTGATGTTCTTCCTTCATTTTATTCCCACAACAATTCTGTAAGATAGGCTAATGCTTAGAGAAAATTATTATAGTATGTAGAAATGACCTTGGGAGTCAGGAAGAAGAGTTGCAGATTGGACAACTAACATATAAAAGGTGTATCTCAGTCCACAAAAGGACTGGGAAGCATTTCAGAAGAGACCCTACCTAGTTTTTTGGAGAGTAAAAAGAGAGGAGGGGAGAAGTCATTTCAGTGTTAACAGAGTAATAGAGTTGGAAGGGACCTTGGAGGTCTTCTATTTCAGCTCCCTGCTCAATCAGGAAATCCACTATCATTTTGGACAAATCATTGTCCAATCTCTTCTTAAAAACCTCCAGTATTAGAGCATCCACAACTTCTGGAGGCAAGTTGTTCCACTGATTAATTGTTCTAATTGTCAGGCAATTTCTCCTTAGTTCTAGGTTGCTTCTCTTCTTGTTTAGTTTCCATCCATTGCTTCTTGTCCTGCTTTCAGGTGCTTTGGAGAATAGGTTGATCCCTTCTTCTTTGTGACAGCTCCTTAAATATTGGAATGCTGCTATCTTGTCACCCCGAGTACTTCTTTTCATTAAACTAGACATACCCAATTCCTGCAACTGTGCTTTGTATGTTTTAACCTCCATTCATCTAATCATCTTTGTTGCTCTTCTCTGCACTCTTTCTAAAGTCTCAACATATTTTTGCAAGATGTTAACAGAACAGTTGCAGTCTGTTAATGTAGCCTTACAGTAAAGATAAAATTAGTATCCATACTTGTGTTTCTGAGTCTGAACTGATTTATATAGCTGAATTCCTGCAAGATCCAGGTCACTTTTGTTTTGCTTCAAATCACTTTCCAGATCTGGACAACCTTTACAAATTATTTTGGTTCATAGCCTTTCCTATTTCTTCTTTCGCCTTCAGAATCTGGACCTACCTTGGTGATGGTGGACTGCCATCAATACATGCCCAAAGGCACCACTGCCAAGTTCTCGGAGGATAGTGTAACTACTGGTCACCTCCACCTGAGGTAGATTCTGAGCTGTCAGCTGCACCATCTCCTCAAGTCGTTTTCCAATGTCACCAGGGACTAATTTCATAACTTCAGGGAAATAAAAAGAGGTACATATAGAGAGGACTTGAGATGAATACAGACAATAGCATTAAATAAGTAGCACCTTATCCCCATGGGGCTTTCTTGAAGTTTGTCTTGCTAAGCACAAAAAAGGATTTTATTATTCCTTTGATTCCCTGGTTTTCATTTAGAAAAAGGATGTGGTATAAATCTCACAAAAGAAATAAATATTTTCCCTTTCTCAACTGGCTACTTTTGGAAGCCATGGGCTGCATTTTAAAGTTTTAAGTATTTTGACGGTCAAAGTTGCAGGACACAAAACAAAAATGTAATTATGTTGGTCAAATATATAAGATGCTTGTTAGTTTTCTCCTTTAGAGGCTTGTTATATATCTGCACCTGCCCTTACGGCCTTTCGTTGGGGCCTTAACACCTGACTTTGCCAATTGGCTTGGGCCCTTATGGGGGGGGGGGGATGTTGTACTGACAGTGGCTAATGGATTGAGGATTCTAGCTTCACCTCATTGCTTATTTCTTTAGGTATCTTTTAGTCTAATTGTTAATCATTTTTATTTTAATATTTTACTGTTTTGTATTGCAGGTTTTATTTTGTTGTAAACTGCCTAGAGTCACCTCTGGATGAGATGGATGGCAAAAGAAAGAAAGAGAGAGGGAGAGGGAGAGACAGAGACAGAGGCAGAGGGGGAGAGAGAGACCATCAGACTTTCTTTGATGTGCTATTCTGCCAACAACTGTGGCTGGGAATCATTGCTTTGCTGTCAAATGCTGCTATACTACATAGACTTTAAGCTGCATGTGCATGATCTATAAAATAGGATTGAAAGGAAATATACTTTTTTTCAAGAAATAGAATGCATGCATTAGTGGAAAGTAAGAAGAACCATGGTGGATCTTGCAAAATAATGAAGACAATTTGATCGTTCCCTTACTTCTTCTATTTGTCGGTTGGGTTTAAAAGCTGAATAAATAGCCCTCAATTTATGACCATATGTTCAGTCATCATTTGAAGTTATGGCAGCACTGAATAAATGGTGGTTTTGACTGGTCCCTGGAATTCCAGCTATCCCAGCACCTTTGAGGTCACATGATTGTGATCTGGGTACTTGGCAACCGGCTCACATTTATCACCAGTCATAGTGCCCCATGAACATATGATTGCCATCTGCAACCTTCCCCACCTCCAGAAAGTCAATGGGAAAGCCAACAGGGAAAGTCACAACTTGTTGGAAAAAAATTCCCCTACCTCTTACAATTACCCACCTGTCCCTCTGTGCTATGCTGGCCACTCGCACATTCCCAGATACCCTGTTCCAACTCTTGCTCCACCTCCTTGTACACCTTGCACACTTCATCAACCCTCACTCTGCCTCCCTCACACCTACTCACTTGCACACAGCCTTGCACTCTCTCTCACCTGGCAGTAGCCCTTACCTGCTTGCTGACCTACTTGAAACTTTCTGCTGGCTTCCCTTACTGAGGAAGTTGCCTTGCCTAGCAAGGGATTTGGTTAACAACAGGAACTGGGACTGCTTGGATTGCCATTACTAAGCAAAGTGGTCATACTTTATGATTACTTAGTGAGAAAAACTCCAGTCATAATTGTTGTCTTAAGATGAGGTCTACCTGTACGCTATTCCCCCCTGCCCCAACACACAACACTCCATAACAATATGGAGGATGACTGAAATAACATAATTCCAAACACGGTGGAGAATTTTGCCATGCCCCTAAATGTTATATTGGGAACTAAAATGTGCTTGAAACTTCAATTACTGTTTGACAAGGTGCTATGATATAAATCAGATTTGCAGCTCTGGAAGACCACATATTTTATTTACAACACTTCTGTCTCCCACCAGCAGTTTAAGGCTATATTCTTTAACCTTTATTTACATTTCTTTCTTACACCAGCCCCATGAAGTAGATTACACTGAAATTAGTCCAAAATTATACAGTGAATGTAATGGCTCCCACAGGATTTAAGCCTAATTCTCCAAACCATGTAGATTCAGATAGAATAACTACATGAAAATAATTATTTCACTGTGCAGACATATTCTATAGTGAGCATGGATGTTTTGTCCTCAAATGTGGCATTACTTATTTACTCTCACTGTTCCTTACTTGTTTTGAAGCAACATGTATTCCAACATGAGAACATGATTCCTCCTGGCAAAACTTCAGAAATATCTACACCCCAGTGTTTACATAAACAGATAAAGCAAGTTCTAGACTGTGTACACACTGAAGGACAACCGGATACTCTTCAGTTTTAGCAAGCTGCAAAATAATACAAAACCCAGAATGTGGCCCAGAAAAATGATGGTAAATGCCAGAGTGCATACACTCAATTTATTAAATAGTGACTGCTTCTGCTGATATACAGAGTGTCTTTTTCTCACAAAGCAACCACAATCAATGCTATCAGAACTGGCAAAGGTACTTTTAAGGCAGAGAATGTGATTTATAAGCAGAGAGGTTTCACTTCTAACATTTCAAAGCTCTGACAGCAAATGGAGGGGATAACATAAAGGGCTTTTGCCAAAAAAGCATGACAATGGGATCCCCCCCCCCCCAAGAGCTCTATATACCGGTATTCCTTTTAGGTTGCAACAAATGCAGTTGATGCAAGAGAATAAGCAAAAGAAAGACATAGGAACTTTCAGTCAGTTGCACCATTTGGCCTGTAGGTTTTGCAGATGCAATAATTAGAAATAACAATGTAAGAGTTTCTAAAGCAGATTCTTACCCGCAACTGTTGAGCTGGAGCACATGTGCCTCTTTTCCATGTATTTCTTCCTATTTTGTTGATTAAACAGTCAATCCTGCCTTGTCAGCTTATTCAATACCTGTTCCATGCAGATCCATGTAGCACCTTTTATAGTAACTACTTCCCACCTGATTCTGTCCAGTCACATTAATAGGGAACTATACCAAACCACTCCTCTCATCTCTTCTCCACTCTGCCCCAAAAGGTCAAGACTTTGGAAGTCCAGCCAGTTCCATGGGACAGGATTAACAGCCACTTATCAAGGTTATTTTTACTGCTCTTACCCAGATGGTTTCATACTTATGTGTACCAGATGTTCCTGGAAAGAAATGCTTCTCCTGTCTCTGGAGAACCAGTGGTTAAGCTTTGATGAGAGAAAGTCTTGAGGCGGAATGAAAGGGGCCTTTACTGGGGTGCTCATATAAATTCACTGTTTCCATGTTGATAGATCAACACAAACTTTTTAAGCACAAACTACTTTTCTTGAACCCTGGTTTTACTCAGGGTTTCTCCACATACATTTGCTGAGTTGTTCAATTTGGATACTAGTTTGTTTTGAGGACTGAAAAGTTAATAATTTGGGGGTTTTTTACACTGGTTTATCTGAAAAACAAGAACAAAGCTGAGCCTTTTTATTTTGGCAAGAATGAAAATGGTGAATGGTGTTTTTTTTTCTACTATCTTTGCTTTGCTTTTATGTCACTATGTTCTGGGTGCAAGCAATCGCTTCCTTAGTGTCTGCTGCAATCTAGGCATGAAAGGGAAGGATTTAAAAAGTAATGTTTGTGTTTGTGTCAAACATTTCCTGTGTAGTTTTTTTGGCAATAGTATGAATGGTTTGACACTGCCTTCTTTTAGGGTGTTCTTGATTTGTTGTTCTGTCCCACATTTGGACATTCTTGGCTAATTTCCCATTTATCTGTTAACTTTAATTTCAAATTAATTTCACAACCTCTGGTAAAGGCTTGGGTTTTTTTTTACACTTGCCTCACCGGCCCATTCTTCTGCAGCCAAAGGAGCAGCTTCATTCTGCAGCTGAGAATGGAGCTGCTCCCTCGGCCGCAGAAGTGGGCTGGCTTTGTGGGGCTGTCGGTTGCAAGATGAGTACTGCCGTTGCAAGACACCCCCTGAAAATCAGACCTGTGCCTCTTTTGGAGGTGCAAAAAAAAAAAGACCGGGTCTTATTTTCAGGGAAACATGGTACATACAAATATAGACAAATACATACAATATCTGAGAGGGAGTATATTGCCTGATAGTGGTAGTGGTGTTGATGATGCTGATTCTGCAGTTATAAAGGTTTCAGAACATTTCTGTTAATGTTGAGCATACTTTTTTTCCTGTGTAAATATAGAGCAAGGAGAAGAAAACATGCCCTTTAAGATGCTCAAAAGAGCAAAGTAAGGAAACCTGTTCTTTATTATTCTGTTTGGAAGATAAGTAATGTTGTGTTATCCAGATCATTATTAAAAGATTTCAATACAGACTGTTGACAATTTGTTTAGTGAGCACTTAAACTTATGACTGGGCTGAAAAAAGTGATGTACAACTGATCCTTGCACACTTACAACTGTTGCAGTGTTCCATGGTCACATGGTCACAATTTGGGTGCTTGGCAACCTATGTATGTATGTATGTATGTATGTATGTATGTATGTATGTATGTATGTATGTATGTATATATAAGTCTTAATAACTGAATAGCTGCTTACTAGATCACTTGCTTGTTCCTTTTCTGCAAATCTGTGAAGCCACCTGTTTTTACAACTAGATATCATTCACACAGGTCAGATCCCTTGCCTGTTGACATGCCATTTTGCACTCAGATGGGAGACAGATGCATTCTGACCTTTCCATATTCCTTGGCAGCCTTCATATTGCAGGTGGACAGTTCACACCCAAGGCTGCTAATGAATGTCTGACACAGAAGGTTGCCCCTGGGGAAGAAAAGGAGGACTTAACTAAGCAGGTGGGCAGGATACTGTTTGTTGTACCCTGAACCTGGGTTTCCATGGAGAGTCACTTTCTAACATGACCTAATGCTCTTGGGATGCAAAGAGAATATGCAGAGAAGAGCTAGTCGGTGATACACAAGAGTTTCAGCTTTGAAAGGTCTGCAAGCAGTGCAATGAAATTTGGGAATAAATGAGGAAAAGGTGATCAGCTTTTCCTGGTGATGAACTGTATGGACTGCTAGTCTATGTCCACAGTAGGTTTAATTCAATAGGAAGCCAAGCCAGGATCTCTTTGCAGATTGTTCAACTTTCCTTGATCAAAAGGGCAAACAGCACCATGAAAAGCAGTACCAAACATTTCCCCGTTCCTGTGTTTTACCTCTCATCGCTGGCAGCATCCATTTGTGGGGAGGTAGAATTTTTGTACGAAGAAAAGTTTTAGTGCCTGTTTCATATTTTTTTAGTAAACCGTGCCAAAAATATGTCTGTCATCCCTGCATTGAACAGTGTATCATGTATCATTTTAAGGACTACTTTTTTAAGTAGGGATGGTGGTTTACAAAATGACCACAAGTTAAAAAAAATCGATCATGTGCATCGCCAATGCAAGGTCAATATATTTTTGTTTTAATGCTCGCTGGTTGTTGGCTGAGTGCATAAGTCATGCCCAAATTGTCATGCCCAATTCATTTTGAGGATGACAACTTTCCTTCAATCATATTTATGAATACTTCTCTGCTTTTTGATTGATTACAAGTGTACTCCTAAAAGAGATGGTTCAGGCTTGTTTATCATCTCAAAAGGCCTTCAAGCCTGTATTTGCTACTCTGAGCTAACTTTGTTCTGTAATTGAGGCATCAGTTGGGCACAAAACTTCCATTCCTTGATCTAGAGTTGGCAGAAATTCTGCCCCTTTGTGATGCCCATTGTTCCATTGTGACAATTCTCCTCCTTCGCTATTCAGCTTCCTGTTCTGAAGTTGGCTGCAGCATATTCCTAGTTAATGAAGTGCCAGGCAGCAGCTGAAGTTGTGGGCTCTGTTTACTTTGGCAAGTATGCTTTATGCTGGTCATTACCTTGGCACAATAATAAGGGGATCAACACTCTCTGGCTTTTTGAACAGAAGGTTTAGCTTTACACACTGATAGAGATAAATTTATCATTTCAAATAATAAGGTGACCAACCATCCTCCTTTAGGGAGGACAGTCCTCCTTTTGTAAGTTTTGTCCTCCCTCAAAAAGTGTCCTCCTACATGTCCTCCTTTTCAATATTTGAAGACTAATCTGCAGGGCTTTTTTTTTTCTCATAGAACGCTCAGAACGGCGTTCCGGCACCTTTTTTTGATGGTTTTTTTTTTCAACTTTTGCATGAGCTGTGCTACTCCCGCTATTGGCTTTCGAAAGCCAATAGGAATTGCTGCTGAGCGCGCCAAAACACCCAGCCGGCAAACTTTGCACATGTAAGTTGTCTGCAGCGAAGGCGAATTGGCAGGAACTTTGCACTCCTCCCTGCTACCCAACTGCACCATCTCCTAGTTAGTCCCGAAGATACCTGGAGGAGACTGGAGCGGCAACGCCAGGGTCACTTTCTCTTGATCTTTGGCCCTGCTAGGGCAATAATGGCTGCAGGTGCAAGAGGCAGGGGCGGTGGGGCTGCTGTGGGCGGGGGTGTGAGGGGCAGCGGTGGCCGGCTGCCCCCCATGCTGTGGGAGCCGCGGGGCCTGCTCTACACGGGGCTGCACAGGGTGGGCGGTGGTGCTGGCAGGGCGGCTGCAGGCAGGGTGTGTCGACGGCTGGTGTTTGAGAGCTGCGGGGCCCGCTCTACACGGCAAGGCAGCAGTGCTGGCGGGGCAGCTGCGGGCGGGGGCGCAGCATGTAAGCATAATTACAATATAAAATGTTATTGTTACAAATGTTTTTATTATGCATTTATCATATTATAATGTATTCTGTATTATTGTTGCAATGAATAAAATGTTTCTTTTATTTACGATATTTTTTTCTTCAATTTATTTGTGTCCTTCTTTTCATTGCAAAAAAGTTGGTCACCTTACAAATAATGCACACTGAAAGCTGCATTTTTGTATTCTTTATTTGTATTCCCACTGTATTCCCACTAGCTGACTATGTTGATCCTTCTATGCTTTCTCTCTTCTACTGCCCATTTAGATAATATGGTAATTTTCAATATAAATATCAGTTCAGCATTTCAGTAGCATTAGACAAGCTGCTATCTCTCAGCTTCAATGCCTTTTATTTGTAGTATTTGGACTAACAATAGCACATTCCTTTACAGGACTGTTGTGAGATTCAATGATAATTGTCTATATTAGCTTTTCAAGAAATCAATACATAAAGTATTACTAGTGTTAATGTTAAAAATAGTATTAGTCAAAACACAGCTGAGTCATATAGATGCTAAAAAAACTCTCAAAGATTTACCATATCAATTTCTTAGTTTTTGTGGGAATAATCTGTGAATGAATAGAAAGCTAGACCATTTAAGCTAAATTTTATTGTAAAATATTTAATGTAGGAGTTAAAGATCTTTTTAATAAGTATAAGTTCTAATTTCATTCTTCTTTCAAGGAATTTAGACTAGCTTACAGGGCTTCTCTTCCCATTTTGTCCTTTGAATGACAGACAGGCAGCAGCTTGCTCAATGTAACCCAACTTTAAAGTTACTAAATTGTTACAGTCTTAAGGGGTTTGAAATAAAATCAGCCCTGCTTCAACACTCAACTGTTGTACCATCTGAGTAAATGACTAGACAGCTGCTGCAACTGTCAAATAGATCAGAAGATAAAATAAACTAAAGCAACATATGTTGGGAATTATAGACCAGTTCTGTGCTACCACCAGGTGGTAACATAGAGTTACAACTATCTTCCCAAAAGAAAGAGGCTTAGAGGCAAAACCATTATAGATAAAACCTCTTTGGATTTTTTTAAAAGGAGAAAATCTCAGTGAATTCAACAAGCACAGAACTACAACTTGCAGCTCCTTCTCCACCCCTGAATAGGGTATTTAAAATGGTAAGAGAGAGTAGCCTACATTATACATGGTAAAACAAGAAGGGAGATTGAATACATGGTTGCTGAGAGAGAATGGATGAGGACCGTGTCTCATCCAAATATAGAAAAGAGTGAATGG